CTAACAGAAAGACTGACCACAAGTTCCGGTTGTTCAGGGACAGGGATGTAGGTCCAAGGTAGAGTGATTGCCCTCTAATGGCTAAGGCCCCAGGATCAAACACTAACACAGCAGAATCAACATTATGAAATAAAAAATAACTGAATAAGTGATGGCCCAATGAGCTGGAAGAACCATACTTCTGTGGGATATTCATGTTAAGAAAATCTTAAGTCATGCTGATCCTTGTTACAGAGCCAGTTTAAAGAAAAGTAGAACTTCACCTCCTCCCAGTTCCAGTTGGCTGAACAAAGTCTTTCACTGGCCGTTCCTGCTGGAGCACTGGGAGAAGTCTTAGCTTTTCCAGGGTCTGCACTCAGACTGCAGAGACCTTCAATGCTCCAGTTACTGTGTGTCTATGAGCTGCACTCTTGGAGTAGCTTCTGCTTTCACACACTGGACTCCTGATGAGGGAACAGCACTCTGCAGCTGACTCATCTCAGGCAGTGGATGCTCAGCTCCCTCAGAGCTGTTCTATGGCCCTGTCTCCTCACCACATGATTTCAACCACAGACCAACCGTCCTTTCCCTCTCCAGTCATCTCCACCCCTTCTCTACTTGAACCTTCTCCAAGTCCATTCTCTCATCTGACAGGCTACAGTTTTACCTATTTATCCAGTTACCATCCACCCCCTCACATGGAATGCTACATCAGGAAAAAGGCCTTTTCCTCCTTGACTCATTCCTGGACTTTGAATTGTAGGATGCACTGGTGAAATAAAGCAGACAGGTGTGAGGAGCTCCCAGGTGTGATGAGTTTCTTCTTGTATTCCCCAAATTAAATTTCCTACTTGGATTAGTACTTACAGTTCCTCTAGGTAAAAAATAACCACTAAAAATATTTTATAAGAACTTAATCGTAGTCTACTTGCTTTATTGAATATTTCCCTATGCCAGGCAGAGTGGAGATGACAAACACATGGAAGGAGCAGAAGATAAGTGTGACCCTGCAGTAGACTGACTCAGAAACAAATTGCTCCCACATGAGTTTTTCACAATACAAATAAAATAACTCATCAGATTACCTGGATCCCGGTGACCCGTGGAAAACCCAGGAAATTTTTGAATGAACGATAGATAATCCACCTGAGCTGATGCCAGAAAGGGGTGACACACGTGATCTCCTCCAAGGCTGTGCTCCTCCCTGCCTTCTGTTCCCCCAAGAGTCGATCCAGTTCAGTTCTCATTTCGCTGTATAAGGAGGACTGGGCATACATATTGGCTAAGTTTACTCTGACTTGGTACTGTCTCTCAGAAAGCTCTTTATATTTGTCAGCTTTGAAATAAAAATGGATAAAGACAAGAAACAGATAATAATTTAATTGATTTTTCTGAGACACTTTTCATGACTAACACATGAATTATGTGTCAGGTTTTTGAGACAGTCTCATGTACCCTAGACTGGCTTGAAGTTGCTCTGATGTCAAGGGTGACCTTAAACTCCTCCAAGTCCTCCTGTTTCTGTCTCAATGCTGAGATTACAGGCATGCACCTTCACACCCAGTTATGTGCTGCTAAGAACCAAACTCATGGCTTTGCACATGCTAGGAAAGCAGTCTACCAGATGAGCTCCATCTTCAGCCCACCAAACTTTGAGCATGAGATAATTACTCCTGTGTAATTCTTTCGCAGATTAGAAAAGTGTCCCTACCTGACATGACTACTGTCATTACCCCATGGATACAGCAATCTGATTGGCCTTTTCCATATGGACCCCAATTCTTAACAAAGTTCTCCTTCCATTATGGATCTACAACACTTCTTAACATAGAAGTCTGGTCCCTGCTTTCTTCCACATATGACTGTATATGCAAATGTATGAACTGCCAAGCATCATGTTTTTAAAATGTTATAAATAAGGCCAGGCATGGTGACATAGCCCTGTAATACCTACACTTGAGAGGTGAGGTAGAAAGAGCATATATTTAAAGCCAGTCTGACTACATAATCAAACAATATCTAAAACAATAACAAGTATAATATGATAAACAATAGGTACATTTACTTTTAAACAGTAAATATCATTGTGTCAATATCATAAATGGTCGATTATAAATTAAATAAAACCACCAAACACAACAGACAACAAAGTCTATTAGCTAATTTGAGGACAGTTTATTAACATAAAAAGTTATATTCTAATCAGATACATGCTTGTATTTTAACCAAACCAACTAGACAAAAATCTGTGTCTCTAGAAAACTTACGTACCATCACGGCCATCTTCCTCTGTGTCAAATAGAGCAGATAAACCTCCATTAATGATGTCCAGGAAGAAGTCTGCAGGGTTGTTGTGGGAATCATAATTGTAACCTACAAAGCATGTAGACCATGAGTACAAACGTGAAGACTCTTTCAGAGAGTGGGACAGGGAGGGGGAAAGAATCTAAGAACTTCTTCCTCTTCTAAGCCGCTCCTCTGCTAACTTATCCCTTCTTTTCATATATACACTCAATGTTTCAACAATATCTGAGTCCCAGTCTAATATATATAATATATGTTCATACACTTTTACAAATACATATGCAAGTTTATGTGTATATTATATATACAAATATGGACTCTTCCTATGAAACAATCATTTGAGTTTGGCCTACAATTTTATTAGACTCCAAGACTAACAAATGTTAACACTTTTAAAGGACAAAGATTAATCAAAAACAAAGAGTGATGCTGAGAACGCTGATAGCAATGGCCTTACCAGAGGCCACAAGAACACCCTGCACATGGCGATTCATGACTCAGGTGTCGACCCATGAGATGAATAGCTCTCTGATGGGAAATCTCCTTAAGGCTTATGGAACCACAGACTCTGAAAACCAGTTGCTTCTGTCTGTAATTATTCTTGGGTGACACTACATTTCTTCCCTAAAAACAGCTATGGGTGTTTTCCCACTGCCTATGGATACTGTTGCTTCTGTGTGTAAAATCACACGTGCAAAAACAGCTGTGTTATCTCCCAACACCTGCACTGTACTATGTGACCTCATATAATATGTACAGCTGTGTTATCTCCCGACACCTGCACTGTAATGTATGACCTCATATAATATGTACAGCTGTGTTATCTCCTGACACCTGCACTGTAATGTGTGACCTCATATAATATGTACAGCTGTGTTATCTTCCCAACACCTGCACTGTACTATGTAATCTCATATAATATGTACAGCTGTGTTATCTTCCCAACACCTGCACTGTACTATGTAATCTCATATAATATGTACAGCTGTGTTATCTCCCGACACCTGCACTGTAATGTATGACCTCATATAATATGTACAGCTGTGTTATCTCCACAACACCTGCACTGTACTGTATAATCTCATATAATATGTAAATGGAATCTCATGATCACATTTCAATCTTATGGATACTTATATCTGTGGACCTTCCGGGTATGACTCATCATTAAGCTGTATAATTTTGATATATAGAAAACATGCTAGGATGTGCTTCAAAATTAGATCTATTATTTCCCGAGGACTGCAAGATGCTTAGGCCCTGTTTTGTATCATTAGCTCGGACTGACATAAAGCAAACATCAGTTTCTTCTCAGTTCTGAGACAAGCTACATACAACTGGCTGACTTTGGGCCTCAGAGCAAATTCAGTCCAGACTCAATGTCTCACAAGTTAAAACTCGACAGACACTACAAAGGAGAAATTCCCAGATGTATAATTGTGGAATCAAGATTAGACATCAAGCAGCCCTGGTGCCAGTTCCCCACCTGGTAAGTCTGGCTGACAAAGACCTACTTTCTACAAAACTGTCTCACTGGGCACTGTGTCCCAGACCTCAGGTTGCAACCTGAGCCCTGCAGTTAGGTGTTGCCAAGGCTGCTCACTCCCTGAGACATAGCTTTTTTACTTTCCACAGGATGGATATAAGAGAAGACAGAAAGAGAGAGAAGCTGGAGAAAGATAAATGATGGTCAGTACATGCATGAGTCTGATTCCCTCAGATAAAAAAGAATAATTCCTAAGTTCTGTTATTCTGAAAGCACATTTTTTTGCAACCCTGGGTACAGTCCTGGGAGCTGGTCTCTTAGGCTGCTATAGAGTAATGAAAAGTAAATATTTAAACCTTGAGAGTGACCCAAAACTATATTCATAGCTCTCTAAGATGAAATTGATGGCATAAACCATTAAAAAAATACATCATCATTCAATGTGAAATGTGAAAAAAAAACATGCAGACAGAAAACATGAGTCCATGGAACCCAAGTTAAGCAACCTCAGCCCACGAGCAGCACCTAAACCTGAAATACAAAGCTACTAAGTTAAGTAACCACAGCTCCTTAGAGTCAGGTCACACTAGGGGAAATTGAAAACCACCATCTGTTGCATGAGCAAAAATACCATGAAGCTTTTCCAAAGCTTTTCAAGAGATGGATAAATGCGCCAGGGGCTGGCATGTTAATTAAGAGGGTCACCATGACTGGGAAGCAGAACAGGAGCTTCAGCAAAAATCTTGTACACAGGCATGATACAGAACAGGAGAAAGAAAGAGACCTGCACAGTCAGCCCGTGCTGCACAACTAACAAAACCCTGTCACCAAATTAACCAAAGGTATTTAAAATGAAGAAGCCCACACACAGTAAGTCTGCATGAGGACCAAGCAGCATTCCTGAGGACCCCTCTTCCCTCCCCAGATCCCGTGAAAGAATGAGCTCTCACAGCAAATCCAGCCATACCTGCGGATTTGAAGTACTCCAAAGCCTCCTGTGCAGGCCCGTGAAACATGACTTTTCCTGAGGCCACCAAGGTGAGGCTGTCAAAAAATCTGAATATGGAGTATGGGGGCCGATAAATGGAGAAGATGATTGTCCGTCCCCTCATAGACATCCTAAGTTTAAAGAGGGAAAAGTCATAAGTCACTGAACATTGAAATCTTGAAGTTCTCGACAAAATATTTTATTCCTGAAGTTATGTTTGTTCTCATTTAAGCTTGAATTTTCCTTAAAAAAAATACTTCATCTCACTTGTCTTATGCACCTGATAGCAAAACCAAGCTAATGCTCTTATTTAAAAGTCTATGACATCTAACATGTGGGACGTCAGTAGTGCACTCAAGTGTTACCACATTGATCCCCATGCTGTCTTCTCAGACACTGAGTCGGAATATCTGGGAGTCAATGCAGGGAATCCATATCATGAACAGACAACCCAGGTGATTGACAGGTTCACCCAAGCTTGAGAAACAATGACAGAGCAAACATCACAGCTGTGACTTTATGCACAATTTCCCTCAATCGTTCACACTTTTTGTCTCTTCAGGAATTGGTGTTCACTGTTCTGATGATGTGACTCACATTTCTAACCACTTGCTCGTCCGCTAAACACTTCAGTAATAATTTCAGTTTTCACAATGTCGGCATAAGGCAATTCTAATATAATTCCCCCTTTGTTTTGATAAGGCTTAAAATGTCAAGCAACAGACCAAGGGGCTACAGTTAGTGAGGAGTGAACCTAGGATTTGATTGTTGGTTTAATTTCACAACATGAAAAAATAAGCTGAATGTCCATTTCAGGAAGTCATATCTTCTGTTAGGAGAATCAATAACCAAAAACAGTATTTGAAACATATACAAAAATATTTTTAATAAAATTGGGTATGGCATATCTGTAATACCCCAGCACTCGGAAGGATCCATTATTCAAGGCTCAACTAGGTTACAAGACACCCTGTTTCAGAAAGACAAACAGAGAAAATAAAAGAGAGCGGTTGGGAGGGAACAAGAGAAAGAGGATGGAGGGAGGAAGAGAGGGATAAGAAAAAAAGGAAGGATGGGAGGGAGGGAGGAAAAAAAGGAGAGAAGGGAGGGGGAGGGAGAAACGGAAACGAGAATGAGAAAGCTGTGAAGTGCAGAGCACACCTTGAGCTCCAGCTTAGTAGGCAGAGACAAGAACGTGAGATCAGCCTCGGCTACGGAGTAAAGTGACAAACTGTGAAACCTCAAGACAAGCGTCTCATAAGTGTATGCTCTGAGGTGTCACCATTTCCTCAAACCAGCCAGGCCAGACAGTAATACCAACACAGGTGGAAGAGAAGTAGACAGGATCCCTTGTGAGAAAATAGACTTGCAGGCCGTCTGCAGTTAAAACAAGAGAGGCACCTAAGAAGAGAAAAAACAAGCTGTACAGAGTATGAACAAAAATGTCTGTCCAAGAAACTATGAGAGTTCACTGCTACACAGCAAGGATTTGTGTATGCCTGAATGTGTTTGAGAAAGGGAGAATGTAGGAAGAAGCAAAAACAGGGAGGAAGACATAGGTACATAAAAAAGGATGGAGAGAAAGAGAAATAACCGGTGTGGAATTGAACGATTAAAAGAGATTGTAGGAAGAGCATCTTAGGGGTGGAAAGGCCCTTCTGCTGTAAGCTGGAACATAAGGAGGATAGTAGTCAAGAACTTCAAAGATTCAAAGCAGACAGCAGACTTGGCAAGAGCCTTCCTCAAAGTAAGGTCTAGGATCTGCGGCCTCAGTATCTCCTTCCACAGCATTTATCTTGGAATCCTGGGCAGTGTCTCACATCTACAGAATCACACCTACAGAATCACAC